CTTCCCCCCCCCCCCCCCCATAGGGGTGTGTTTTAGACAGTGGGAGGGGCAACTTAAGCAGATTATGCCACCTACATTTGACCGGGTACAGCAGAACTCAGACTGGGAAAGGGAGTGGCAGCCAATCAGTTGTGCTGCGTGCTGATAGAAGGAAAGAGCAGAGAGCTGTGCTAATCAGTCTTCTGCTTCTCCTTCCACTGTCCAGTCACAGGCTGCTGGGGGAGGGGCAAGACCTCTTACAGCAGAGCTCAGATTGAGAAAGGGAGAAGAAACACAGGCAGCCACACACTTTTCATGCAGCATTTAAGTCGGGGGAGGGGGAGCCACCTTAAAAACGCGTCACCGAGGTCCACGCTCCGGTTCTAACGGTTCCTGTTTTTGATTGGTACAGCGGATGGACGTCACGGAATCGTGCGCGTGGAACGCGTCCCGCTCGCCGCAAAGCTGGTGGACATCCCGTGCGTGCTCGAGTGTATGAAAACCATCGACAAGAAGACGTTCTACAAAACCGCCGACATCTGCCAGGTAACGCGGGGGCGGTTCCTGGAGAGTCCAACCTTAAAGTGTACGTAGACCCCAGCAATGATCTTCTCCTGTTCGCTGCCATTTGCAGAAATGGTGTCAGCCCTGCCCCGTTGTCTTTTGCTAAACTACAAAAATCCAGAGCTGTCGCGTGAACTCTTACTGTGTGATCTCATGGAGTCTGATTAGCCCTGCTTTGTTCTCATCTTGGACTACGGAGTGGGGGAGGGATTCAGTAGTAAGCAAAAGACAACTGGGCAGGGCTGACACCATTTCTTTTGATTTCCGTACACATCCTGCTTGTTGTCAGGATTTGGGGGCGGAGTGTATTTGTGACAGATCGGCAGGTATTTTGCTGCGCTTGCAGGGTCTTTAAAGGGATAAAACAGCTCAGGTGCAAGCAGTGGGCGGGCTCTTGGGAGGTGTTATGCAAATGTAAAAAAAACCCTGATGGGTGGGTGTCAGTCTGGTTGAGGGGGTGTTCCTGGGCAGGCTGTATTTGCATACAGACCACCCTAGGTAACGCCCACAACAGCCTTGACTATTGTAAGAACTGCAATCCAATGAATGAAAGGGGGCGGGACCAGGGACGTCCCCCAGCCAGGAAGGGAGGCGGGCTCTTGGGAGGAGTTATGCAAATGTCAAAATGCCCTGGTGGGTGTCTGTCTGGAGGAGTGGGCGTTCCTAGGCAGGCTGTATTTGCATACAGACCGCCCCAGGGTAACGCCCACATGCGATGCTGAGCCTTTGCTATTGAAAGAACTGCAATCCAATGAATGAAAGGGGGCGGGGCCAGGGACGTCCCCCCAGCCAGGAAGTGAGGCGGGCTCTCTCTGACTTGCACATTGGCCGTATTTTGATGCAGATGTTGGTTTGCACCTTGGACGGCGATCTGTATCCGCCCCTCGAGGAGCCGACGGGAGCCAGTGACCCGAAGAGCAACAAGAAGAAGGACCGGGACCGCGAGAAGAAGTTCATATGGAACCACGGAAGTGAGTTTGTCTGTTATGGGGGATGGGCGTTGTACCTGGGGGTGGGGTTGTAGGACGCCATTCATCCAATGATGTCATTGATTTGGTTGGGGGAGCCCATTTCCCTGTAGGGGGGGGATCCCTGGAGCACTCCACTGGCTGCCATCCTGCTGCTCCTGGGCTCTTCTAGGCTCTTGATGTATCTCTTGAGGTTCTGGTGGCCCCCAGTTGGCCTCCATGTTGGCTCATTTGGTACATCAACATGTCTGAGGACCTCTTTAGAAGATCAGGAGACCTACTGAGGTTCTAGCGTCCCCGGACCCCTTTGTGTCCTCTGTGATCTCCCCTTTGGTCTGGTTGGATGTCCTTTTTGATGTATGTACACTAGGGGTGAGCCCGGTCCGAACCGGAGTTCCTCTGAAGGACATGGGGGGGCCACCTGACCAGTGAAGATCATTTCCATTCTGTTAAAGCCGATTCCTGTAGCGGGATGAGAATTCTCACCGCGTTTCCCACATCATAGATGTGCTTCATCAGGGGCTATGGGACGGGATATATTGGGTATGACCTCTGGTTTATATGGGGGGGACATATGGAGGGGACATATGGAGGTTTATATGGAGGGGACATATGGAGGTTTATATGGGGGGGGGCATATGGAGGCTTATATGGGGGGGACATATGGGGGGGCATATGGAGGTTTATATGGGGGGGCATATGGAGGTTTATATGGGGGGGGGACATTTTGGTGTATATGGGGGTCGACATCCTTTATGGAACATTGTGCTCTGATGACATCACAGGTCCAGTGTTCCGGGGTCTCTGATTGGTCGCTGACTCTCATTCTTATCATTCCAGTAACGTTACCTCTGAAGAATGTGCGGAAGAGACGATTCAGGAAAACCGCCAAGAAGAAGGTGAATCCAATTTCTAGATGTCACCCGAGGTCCGTGTGACCCCCAACAATGAATGTTACTTCAGACTACAAAACACCTCCCCTCTGCGCCCTGTTATCAGTCAGCATTGTTCCCTTTCAGGACTATAAAACACCTCCCCTCTGTAATACTGTTAGGACGTGTTTCCACGTGTGTGCATGTTTGTACAGCGTGCTTACCCATGCAAAGACGCGATCCCGGGTCTTTGCAGGCAGTGTGCATCCAATTGCAGGCATCGGGACCACCACAGATGTGCAGGTTCCGGTCTGTGTGCAGCCACGTCCTCCCATAGGTTGGTACAGGCTGCTACCCCCAATTACACGCAGCGCCCGTCCCTCCCTCCCAGGATCAGCTCTATTCATGGAGCCCTGAGGACCAGAGAAAACCTCCCTTATATGTTCTGGAGATGAGAAAAGGGGGAGTAGTAGTTCCAACACTTCCTGTCCTAGGGTGACAACGCTGCTCCTCCATAGATATAATGCAGTGAGCGTTGTCACCCCAGGACAGGAAGTGTGCTACTGGCAGGATCGCCAATAATCTGTCTGCTTTTCTTTCTTTCCACTCCCAGTACATCGAGTCCCCGGACGTGGAGAAGGAGGTGAAGCGTCTCCTGAGCACGGATGCAGAAGCCGTCGGTGTCCGTATCCTTCATACAAGTTCAATGACCGCCCCCCCCCCGCGTGTGATTGGACAGTGAAAGGAGAAGCAGCAGACTGATTAGCTCATCTCTCTGTCACTCTGATGTCTCCTCCTGTCAGTGTGTACCTTCCAATCACAGGCGGGGGGAGGGACAAGACCTGTCAGTGTTACTGAACCGCAGCGGAGAACAATCAGGTCTTCTCTGTGCTGTGTGGCAGAGCTGTGTGGATCTCGGGACCGGGTGGGCAGGTAATACAAACGCCATTCAGTGTATTTCATGTGCGGACTCGGCTGTGTGACCGCGGAGGAGGAAATCCGTCACTTTCCTTAATCGGAGCGCTTAGGGTGGGAGGTGATCGCCGAAGACGAGTCCAAGGAGGCCGAAAATCTGACCGGCCTGGACAGCTCTCCGGGGGCCACGGGAATCAAACAAGGGCGACGCTCTACAAGTAATGTCCATTCTATCTTTTCTTTATTGTTCCTTCTAACAATGAAATACAAAAACGTCTATAAATATAAAAAAGAAATAAATA